CCCTAAGTACAGACCCGCCCCTTCTTTAAACCACACCCCCACCCCCTTTTAAATGTCACTCTTACACCCCTCTCCGTGATCTACGTCACAAATGATCAGAAAAGTTCACATTTTCCAAAGTATCAAAACGAACGTATCCCACACTCCCATTTATCCCACACTCCCATTTATCCCACACTCCCATTTATCCCACACTCCCATTTATCCCACACTCCCATTTATCCCACACTCCCATTTATCCCACACTCCCATTTATCCCCAATGATACAATGACTTTTTTTTTTTCATATTTCCAACAGCTTCAACAATTCAACGACTGATCTGTCCCCGACCAACATCCCGGTGCCGCCCCGTCGGTCTATAGAACGACAACCACACGACAGAACCCGTACGTATATATAGCCACCGTACGTATGTATAGCCACCGTACGTATGTATAGCCACCGTACGTGTGTATAGCCACCGTACGTTTTTGTTAGGTGTTCAAACAAACCCCCGTTTCTATAGACACGGTTCTCCGTCCATACGCTGTCTGTCATTAGTGTGTCGCCATAGCAAGAGACAGAGCAAGAGACAGAGCTGTAGATATTGAATACGGTGAATTGCTCTTGATCAGCGTTTCCCAAACTGTTAAGTTTCACGGACCGGTGGACAAGTTTCGAAACTGCACCAGGGACCGGTCCCAGATTTATTAAATTACATTTTCTTTCCATTTAAACATCAATATTCATGCTCTCTGGACCGGTAACGTAAGGTTCGCAGACCGGTGCCGGTCCACGGACCACCGTTTGGGGACCGCTGCTCTTGATGACCGGGGTACCAGTAGTCTCTCCATTGATTTTAGTCGGTGTTAGGAAGTGCCTGGGATATCCCCTAGCCGACTTCCGGCAACAACAATGGTTGACCACTTAAGTTTTGTTTCACTAGTTTCTATTTCTTGTCGTATTTTCACTTGTCCTGTCTTGCCGAGGAAGGCTCTTAGCCGAAACGTTCTTAATATTTTAGTGTCCTGTCTATCTTTTTCAAGCTTCCACACACCGTGTTCCGCTATATCTTCTAACAGGGTAGTAAAGTCAAACATTACTTTAGCCTCGTGATGAAATGATGATACCAATTCAATAGATGGGGCCTCACATTTTAAGTGAAATAACTTCTTGTAAATGTTCAGATTAAAACCGAAATGTCTACACTGCGTTCATGCTTTCACTACACGCCTCCCCTCGGCCACGCCACGCTTCACGTTGTCAACACACGCCATCCCCTGTACGGTGTGCATCGTACAAAACACGACTCGTGTTGACAGCCACGAGCCGCCGCTCTATGTCAACACGTGTTCTGGTCTCCGTCCAAATCTTTGGTTGAATCGCATAAGTGTTAAAACGTTTTTCATGATCTTGGGAAATCTTGGGAATTAAAAAAAAATTGAGTGGCAGCATTGCTGCTGGCAGACAAGAAATCGTACTTTGTACAGGTGGCTGAAACCACACGTCAGAATTTCGTCATTTATACATTAAAAAAAATTTTTTTTTTAAATTAATGTTTTCAACAATACAGTGGGTATCATTGTCATCAGAAATATGTACTGTGAGCTAGCAGAAATCAGATGAATGAATTGATTAGCCATAAATATGACGTCGTTATAGCTGCTCGGATTCTAATAATCGGATTATATCATGGACGGTAATGGTATGTAGCTTCGTCCGACGAAATCGATCAAGACCAATCAATCATTGGGTTTTTGATGGTTCTGATTCTGTCCGTTTGTGCAAAGATGGCTGATGAGACTACTACTCTCTACACCTTTCTCTTTAAACCCTTTTCTCTACACCCTTCTCTCTACTCCCTTCTCTCTACACCCTTCTCTCTACACCCTTTGTGCTCAGATGGCTGATGAGACTTATTCTGTCCGTTTGGACTCAAAGGGCAGACGAGACTTATTCTGTCCGTTTTTGCTCAGATGGCAGATGAGACTTATTCCGTCCGTTTGGACTGAAATGGCAGATGAGACTTATTCTGTCCATTTGTGCCCAAATGGCAGATGAGACTTATTCTGTCCATTTGTGCCCAAATGGCAGATGAGACTTATTCTGTCCATTTGTGCCCAAGTGGCAGATGAGACTTATTCTGTCCATTTGTGCCCAAATGGCAGATGAGACTTATTCTGTCCATTTGTGCCCAAATGGCAGATGAGACTTATTCTGTCCATTTGTGCCCAAATGGCAGATGAGACTTATTCTGTCCATTTGTGCCCAAGTGGCAGATGAGACTTATTCTGTCCGTTTGGACTGAAATGGCAGATGAGACTTATTCCGTCCGTTTGGACTGAAATGGCAGATGAAACTTATTCTGTCCATTTGTGCCCAAATGGCAGATGAGACTTATTCTGTCCGTTTTTGCTCAGATGGCAGATGAGACTTATTCCGTCCGTTTGGACTGAAATGGCAGATGAGACTTATTCTGTCCATTTGTGTCCAAATGGCAGATGAGACTTATTCTGTCCGTTTTTGCTCAGATGGCTGATGAGACTTATTCCGTCCGTTTGGACTCAGATTAGCAGATGAGACTTATTCCGTCCGTTTGGACTCATATGGCAGATGAGACTTATTCTGTCTGTTTGGGCTCAGATTGCTGATGAGACTTATTCTGTCTGTTTTTGCTCAGATGGTTGGTGAGACTTATTCCGTCCGTTTGTGCCCAGACTAATTCTGTCACGAATGTCCTGTGCAGTTAGTGCACGGGATTGATGGGGTGCATCTCAAGTTGCAGAGTTAACCCATAGTTTTCTGGCATGTCTTTTGTGCTCTGCAAGCTGCTGTACTTTTGACTTCATGTTGTGAGAAGCCTTTGTGTCAAGAGAAACGGTACGATACTCGATGCTTTGCCGATTCTTCCCATGTGTCCTGATGTTGGGGAGACCTGCCTAATGTTGGGGAGACCTGTCTGATGTTGGGGAGACCTGCCTAATGTTGAAGAGACCTGTCTGATGTTGGGGAGACCTGTCTGATGTTGGGGAGATCTGCCTGATGTTAAGGAGACCTACCTGAAGTTGGGGAGACCTGCCTGAAGTTGAGGAGACCTGCCTGATGTTGGGGAGACCTGCCTGATGTTGGGGAGACCCGCCTGATGTTGGGGAGACCTGCCTGATGTTTGGGAGACCTGTGCCTGTGATCATGTTCTGTCGTTTGATCAATATTTACTTTTCATCAATCTATTTTTATCTACTCAAACAATGAACATCCGGGTTCATCAAGATTGCCTATACAAATGGCTTTGTTTTTAAAAAATTAAAATCGTGACAAAATCTACCATATGTTTGAAACTTCTCGTCTTTTGTACATGTTAGACATCCCCATATAAAAACAACGCATAGGATGGGGGGGGGGGAGATTTGTAAATGAAACATCTCAGGTTGGGACATGTATACTTATAGAGTCATCAAATGCCGGCTCTCGAGGCACTGCCGTCTTTTGTTGAGCGACTGCCATCTGTTAAAATTAAAATTCGGAAAATGGTGTGTGAAGGCTGTTACAGAGAAAACTAAAACTCGGACGTTTGTAATCAGTGGCGTAGGAAATATGGTTCTGAAGGACGGCGGTTCGAACCAGGTGGCATTTTTATTTGGATGGGCGGCATTTTAAGGACAACCGCAGATTTTTTTTTTTTTAATGGAAGGGGGCTGAAAAAAATTTCGTATGTTTTAGACGGGGAATAAGTTCATACCATTTTTTTATAGTAAGATTTTTATTAATTATTTTAAAATTTATTTTGGCTTAGAACTTTTCGTCCTTGAAGATTCTTGGGCTTCGATTATCAACGAATGATTTAATATACAGCACAATGATATTAAGTAATTTGAAAGAAATAAGGTTCTAAAGGCAATTGTAAATTAGGGCAATGAAGCCATGAAGCCAGTACTTTTCAATAAACACGTTACGTGGACGCCAGACATAACTCGGATGTTGAAGTGGGAGAACATGACGTCGGAATCGCGCTATCGGGGTGCGCTGTCGGGGGTGCGCCTTTGATTATATTGTGTTCTTGTTTAATATTTTTTTATAGCATGGAGTAACAACATGACGCCAGAGTCGTGAAATGTTAGCAGTTGAAGTGTAGAGATCGTCGTGAAACAGTTTTGTGCAAAAACTGCTTCAGGTTACTGTGACCTGGGCAGCCTGGTACGTTGCTTATTGTTTCCTACCTTTGGAAGGGTGACTTTAGGAGACAACCGGCAAGCCATACAGCTGGTTAGTCAGTCAATGAACCAGCGAAGCTATGCAATGGGTTAAGTCAGTGAATGAACCACCGAAAAATATTTTTTAATTTTTTTTTTTTTTTTAATATATTTTACATTTAACAATAGTTTGACTTGAACTTAAAATGTCGGAACGGACATTATGATATCATTTTCGAAAAGTCTTCTGTCTAGGGGCCCCCAAATGGCTCAATCTAGCTGCCTAGGGAGCTCCAAATGGCTCACTCCAGCTGCATAGGGCCTCCAAATGGCTCAATCTGGCTGTATACGGCCTCCACATGGCTCAGTCTAGTTTCCTAGGGACATACACATGGCTCAGTCTAGTTTCCTAGGGGCCTCCAAGTGGCTCAATCCAGCAATGTATACTTGGGTGACTAAGCTTAGTTGACTGGTCACCGTACAAAAAATGACAGGCAAGGCGGGATTTTAAAAAAATAAACTTTTAACTTGAATTTAATTATACGTGGTTTAATGATCCAAGTCTGAATAGGATAGCTTTATCTGTTGTGGGTCAAAATCCATTCCATGGACCCACATGCTTATTTCCGGTTCGTTTGACCTTTTCCAAATTTAACTGCATGTGATTATCAATTTTCGATGGATCGCAGAACGTGATCATATCATCTCAAACCAAACCAAACAGCAACAAGCAAACATTTTCCCACCGTGCCGTGTGAGTCAGAACAGCTGAAGGAGTGTTGACCTGGGGCATCTAAGGTTTCAAACGTAATCTTTATAAGCCAGCAGACGACATGGTCGCTGGAGCATCCTTCAATTTGCGGCTGCGTAAACATAAAGCATTTGGTGGACATGATGAGATGTGGTGCCCTGACCGTCTTGGCCGGTGCTTGGCTCGTCTTTGCAGGTGGTCACGTGATAGACAAGAGACAGGTTGGTACCTTCGTTATTATAATGAGATCTTCTCAAAGATCGTATAGGTTATGTTCTTATTGGTATTACACTTTTATAAAGTATTTGGTTTATTTTTAATTTAGGAGTTTAGAATCTGCACTATAAACCAACCCTGCTGGAAACCCAACCCTAGGCTACAAACCCAACTCTAGTGTAAGTCCTACTCTACTATAAACCCAACCCTGCGATAAATCTAAATATAGTGTAAACCCAACTCTGTTGTAATCTCAACTCTTCTATAAACCCAACCCTGGTGTAAACCCAACTATGCTATCAACCCAACCCTGCTGTAAAACCAGCTATGCTATAAACCCAACCCTGCTGTAAAACCAGCTATGCTATAAACCCAACCCTGCTGTAAAACCAGCTATGCTATCAACCCAACCCTGCTGTAAACCCAACCCTGCTACAAATCCAACCCTCCTAAAAACCCAACTCTGCTATCAACCCAACCCTGCTGGAAACCCAACCCATCTGTAAACCCAACCCTGCTATAAACCCAACTCTGCTGTAAACCCAACCCTGTTATAAACCCAACCCAGCTGTAAACCCAACCCTGCTATAAACCCAACTCTGCTGTAAACCCAACCCTGTTATAAACCCAACCCTGCTGTAAACCCAACCCTGCTGTAAACCCAACTCTGCTGTAAACCCAACCATGCTGTAAACCCAACTCTGCTGTAAACCCAACCCTGCTGTAAACCCGACCCTGCTGCAAACCCAACCCTGAGGTAAACCTAACTATCCTGTAATCCAACCCTGCTGTAAACCCGACCCTACTTTAAACCCTTCCTTGCTGTAAACCCCGTAAAATCCCGTAAAACATATTTCGAATCGCAAACTGGTTTAAAAAAAACAAACAATTGTAATACAATCCAAGGCCGGTCAACACTTATAACTATGTATCCCTTTCCTTAGGCGATTTTCCCCAATCTCGTCCTATGTGTGGACAGTGAGGCACGACTTGCTGACCAATCTAACATCTATGTGAAAAGCCCTTATTTTGGTTTCAGCAATTACTTGGCCAACACCAGATGTCAGCTGACCCTACGGTCCGGCGCTGACCCTTTGACCGTTAGCGTACAGTTCGAGTAAGTCTTTTGGGTTACGTCGGTGTTTTCTTGTCATTGTGACCACTAGACAGCAATTAGAGCTGGGGTGGTCAACCTGCGGCCCGCGGGCCACATGCGGCCTGCTGATATGTTAATGGGGCCCACAGCATCTTCTGAGAACTGGCCTTTTTTAAAAAAAATAGTAAAATCTAACATTTGTGAATGGTGATCTGTAGGAGCCTTAGAAAATTTTTAAACACTGTCTAAGTTTGTCAAACTAATCATAAATGATAATTAAAGTTTTAAAAAAAATATATATAAGGTACTTCTTTTTTGCGAATTGAACTCGGAATGAATAATTGCAGCTCGTCTTTAATGACGTCTATTAAAATTAGCATGCGTCTAGACAAAAAAGAACTAATTCCCATGCGGCCATCTTGCTCTGCCCGAAAAGATTGCACACCCATCTTTTGAGTCTCATGGATCTAAGCGTCGGTTTACCGTTAGAGGGTTCAATCCCCCGTTAGTATCTTGTTTAACTGAGACGCAACTGTCAGAGAGGTGACCCGTGTCAGTGGCCAGATGGCACATTAGACCAATGTCTTTTTAACGTTGTTGATCATTAAATCCTTTAGCCCGCTATTAATTATAAACACAAAAGACTGACAATGGAGCGGGTCACAGAAGTGAAGACAAGGCTCATTCAAAATTTTTATTTTTATTAAATTTTTTATTTTTTTTGTGTGGGGGGGGGGGGGGGGGGTAACGGGTGCACAACATCGGACATAGTCTCAAATAGTGAGCCAAATTTAAAAAGTATCAGAATCCCTGAAACTTACGACTGCACTCATTATAAGTTGATTTGCTGAACGTACTGCATGGCTAATTTGTTAACCATTTTTTTCTACATACTTTTAAAACTTTTTTTGTTGTTCGAATTGTTTGTTGAGGATTCTTTTGGCGGCGGGCGATCGGCCTTGTCACCTCGCGTGCGTGAGACAACTCAGTGTAGTGTTACACATGTTTAAAATAAACATTAAATTGAGATCACCATGAATGAGCTGATCTAAATGATTTCACTCTATCGCCACCAACCAGTGCCTTCGACCTTGAACTTGAAGCACGCGCCTGCAGCTCGGACTCGCTCTGCGTGGGCGGGGTTCAGTTCTGCGGCAACTGGCAGGTCAATCGGAGGTTCACCTACGTCCTGCCCCCGGGCAGAAACTTCACCCTGGTCTTCAGGACGGACGGATCGGTCACGGCTCGAGGGTTTCAGGTAAGTGTCCCACTTCTGCTGTCACCGTGGATGTCATGGTGGCCCAAACTCATAGTTTTGTGGCACTCCCTCCTAACTCCGAGATACCATTAAAATTAAAACCCAAATGTATGCATGTATCCAACTGAAAGCAAGACTATACAATTTATGAACACAGACGTGATTTTTGTCGCAAACAATAAAACGTGTAATTACATCTTATGACAAGAGCATTTCTTACTCCAGGTCCAGATTTCCGCGGTTCGTTACGACTACCAACCAACCTTGATCACCAGCGGCGGCGTTGGCAGCAGCAGTGGCGGCGTCCAAACGCAACTCCTATCCTACAACGGAGACTACGAGCACACTTACCAGGACAAATGCGCTGTCGACGCCGATGGGGGTTTCTGGAACGACCAGACGACCCCATATTATTACAATGGAAACAGCTCCTTCGCCGACCTTTGGTGGGGTCAAGGTCAAGCTAGCCCGAGGGACCCATTCACTGACACCCGGTACTACCAGACTAGCCCTGACTACTACCGGCCATCTCAGCATCTGGACAGAATCCCGATCCTGTATTTCCTGTTCGAGGCCCAGGCGGCGCTGAATAAGGCGGCGTTCAAAAGAGGGAGGGCCACGGACAACCTCCTTAGAGCCTATGATGCCAGTGGCGGCAGAGCCATTAATTACAAAAAATAATGTAAAAGATTAGTTTCGAGTAAAATATTGTGTACAAAATCAAATCGTCGTTCTGTGTTTTTGACGACAGGTTGTTCGGACCAACGTATAAATTCTGCATTGCTTTAATTTACTCGCACAATTTCAATGTGTGGCTGGCATGCGATTTTCTCTCTCTCTCAAGAACAAATGGCAGGCTACGCGGGGGGGGGGGGCGCGGGACAGCAGAGAGAATGCCAAAAAAATGACAGAGGAGTGAAACCACCAAGACCCCCAGGGGAAAACGGCCCAAAGGCGGACCTAAGCTTAGGTTGGGGGATGAGGTGGAAAAAGACCTACATCCACTGGGCCTCCAAGAATGGAAAATAAAATGGGGGGGGGGGCGCGGGACAGCAGAGAGAATGCCAAAAAAATGACAGAGGAGTGAAACCACCAAGACCCCCAGGGGAAAACGGCTCAAAGGCGGACCTAAGCTTAGGTTGGTGGATGATGTGGAAAAAGACCTACATCCACTGGGACTCCAAGCATGGAAAATAAAAGCATTAGTTAGGTCTGAGCGGAAGGAAGTGGTAAGGAGGCCACAGCCCAACATGGGATGCCACATAGATGGATGGAAGAGCGAAATTTGAAATGCTAAAACTAAACATTATGTCTCTGCTAGAATGACGTCTTTGCTAGAATGACGTCTCTGCTAGAGCGACGTCTTTGCTAGAATGACGTCTCTGCTAGTGATGTCTTTATTCGAATGAGGTCTCTGCTACAGTGACGTCTTTGCTAAAATGACGTCTCTGTTAGAGCGAGGTTGACATTTGTCGGGAACTGACGTCTGAGAACACGAATAAAGCAATCTATTTTAAATGACAATGTATCTGGGGTGCTGAGCTATCTCTAATTTGTAGAATACGTAGTACCAAGGCAGTACAAGACTAAACAGACTATCTTTAAACACTAGACCTTCCAGAGTACTTCAACCACACACAAAACTTGTGGTCACGAAGATTACATCAAAGTGCTCCGTGAGCCCTTCATAAATGGAAGAAGAATAATTAAATGCGTTACTAGACCCCAATGTTTAAGAAAAATAGTTCTTACAATAGTGAAAAGTTATATCCGCATATAACCTAATTACGCGTATGTTATATTAAATTTTTTAAACGGTAAAACTTCATATTAGATCCAAACACGTATTAAACATTCTCAAAATCCCGGTCCTGTAGTAGTCTTATGGAAGAGAATATGGCTGTTGAGCTAATGTCATCGTCTGACGCCTGCGGGTAAAATTATTTTGGGGCCCCAGCCAGCCTTAAATTTTGGCACCATTTCCTCCTAATACAAATTTTCCCATTGATAATGACTGTTATCAATGAAAAAGGTGCTTACTGAAGAAGATTGGAAATACGAGTCCCATAACAGCAAAGTTTTGTTCTGGAAAGTATAAACAATAAAACGTAATATAGATTTATATGGAACATTAAAAAAAAAAAAACAATATTTTTTAAAATATATTTGATTGAAAAGTCTTTACCCTAACAACACCAGCATCCAACTATCAACATTTCAGTTACAACACAATTTTTGAATTACCAACAAACAAACAAAATAAATAATAATAATTAATTTACATCTCAACATTTCTGGCTTTAATGGTAGCAAAAAACATTGCCAAAGTCATTTTCTAGTCCAAATAGGGGAAAGGGGGGGGGGTCCAGGGGTCGACACATTTTTTTAGGGTTTGGGTATCCCATAATTTTTTATTTTTTGTGTTAATGTAATACACTTTTTTTTTCTTGTTGTGATGTACCATGAAGCACGGAGTCGGCGCTGGTTTTATCTGACAGAATAAGATTACGTTAATTCAAACCAAAGATGTTATATTAAGATGGATAGACAAAATTAACTGCACACTCGTATTGTCTGTCATACAAGTGACGAAGTTTGAAATCAATTAGCGATCAACGGCTTTTAAAGAGAGCATTGAACACCTGGGAGCCACCAATGAAGGTCAATCTGTTTCCCTTGCTTATAGCGGTGTTTCAACAAATTGCTGAATTGCTGATCGATCTTTTCCATTTGAATTTCAGCTGACCGCTCATCAACAACCGTATAGAAAATGTCCTTCCGTGTTGTTCAATGTCCTCCCGTGTTGTTCAATGTCCTCCCGTGATGTTAAATGTCCTCCCGTGTTGTTCAAAGTCCTCCAATGATGTTCCATGTCCTCACGTGTTGTTCCATGTCCTCCAATGATGTTCCATGTCCTCACGTGTTGTTCTATGTCCTCCAATGATGTTCCATGTCCTCACGTGTTGTTCTATGTCCTCCAATGATGTTCCATGTCCTCACGTGTTGTTCTATGTCCTCCAATGATGTTCCATGTCCTCACGTGTTGTTCCATATCCTCCAATGATGTTCCATGTCCTCACGTGTTGTTCTATGTCCTCCAATGATGTTCAATGTCCTCACGTGTTGTTCTATGTCCTCCAATGATGTTCCATGTCCTCACGTGTTGTTCCATGTCCTCCAATGATGTTCCATGTCTTCCCGTGTTGTTCCATGTCCTCCAATGATGTTCCATGTCCTCACGTGTTGTTCCTTGCTTATTGTGCCCAGACGCTGATTCTTCTGAGACTTTAAAATTAATATTGACACCGTGGGGCCGGATAAACCAACGTCATGGGCCCGATGTGGCCCACAGCTCGTAGATTCCCCTCCTCTGATCATGTGGACTGACAGTACAGCCAAAGATGTGACCACGTTTCTGATTGATCAAACTTCTGTCAATCAAAATTGCTTTCAAACAAACTTCACGTAACCAAAGCTTTACCTTATCACAAATAGGGATCAAGTGAAAATGGATTGATAATTATCTGAAGTTAATTTATCCCGTAGCCCGTTGCATAATGATCAAGCACATAAAACCAAATGTACTTCATTTCTTTTTTTTTTTTTAAATATAAAATAGATTTGTTTAAATTGAAAATGAGGTTTTTATTTATCATTTAAAAAAAAAATTTTTAATAAAAAAAGTAAAATGCAGGCAATGTATTTAGAGAGATTTTTTTTTTTTTTTTTTTTTAAATATAAAATAGATTTGTTTAAATTGAAAATGAGGTTTTTATTTATCATTTAAAAAAAAAATTTTTAATAAAAAAAGTAAAATGCAGGCAATGTCTTTAGAGAGATTTTTTCAACGGGGAAAATAAAGGAAATATGTGGACACTGATTCCAGGGAATAAAATTCTCGAAAACTGCTCTAAATGAGATGCTTTTAAACCAACAAACAAAGTATCCCACGTGCGTTTGGTGCGTAATAGTTTCTTTTGTTTGTTCCTAAATAGTTGATGAAATTATTCGGCGGTGTGAAAGCGGGTGGGGCATTAGAATATTAAAATAAATAATAAAATTGCATTTCAAGCACTAGAGAAACATCCTTGTTAGACCAGTGGTCGGCAAATCGCGTGTCTTCAGCGACCTGAGTGCGGCTCGGCCAGTCGGCAACAAATCGGTTTTGAATCAAAAAAAAAAAAAACATGATTCTTGACAGGTTCTTGAAACGAAATTTGGCTCTCAAAATTGTTTAAATTATCCTGCTGCTGATTTTTGGCTCTTTTGACGAATGAGTTTGCCAACGGCTGCACTAGAAGTAACGGCATTGGACGGAGCAGCCAGACATGTTTCACGTCATGAGCGGGGCCTGGTCTGATTTGATGATCCAGTGATGTGAAATAAACCAGGTCAACAATAAACCAAGCCAACAATAAACCAAGTCAATAATAAACAAAGTCAACTATAAACAAAGTCAACTATAAACAAAGTCAACAATAAACAAAGTCAATCATAAACAAAGTCAACAATAAACAAAGTCAACAATAAACCAACCAAGTCATATGTGCAGAAAGAGATAACGTTGATCTCAAAACCGACATTGCATACTCTTACCTGTCACAAAACGGACATTACGTATGCTTAAGTGTCACAAAACGGACATTGCATACTCTTACCTGTCTCAATACGGACATTGCATATGGTTACCTGTCACAAAACTGATATTGCATACTCTTACCTGTCTCAATACGGACATTGCATATGGTTACCTGTCACAAAACGGACATTGCATACTCTTACCTGTCTCAATACGGACATTGCATATGGTTACCTGTCACAAAACGGATATTGCATACTCTTACCTGTCACAAAACGGACAACCGCATCGACTCACCTGCGTATTGTCTTTCACAGCAGCCCCTGTGAAGACCAGCCAAGCACTGACTAAGACGGTCACCCGAGTGAGTGTCATCATGCCCTTTCGAGATCTTTCAAATAAGAATCTTTTTTTTTTCAACAGTTCATCGACTCAGAGAGAGGCCATAGCAGCTGCCTGGTATTCTATTTATAGGCTTTCTGTATGAAACAGTAGATGTTATGGCAAAGATCTCATCAGCTGTTTTACTCCCATAACATTGGATATGTTTGTAAATTGTGCCTGCTTGTCAGAAGCGATAATATTGACTACCTAATGTTGCACGTTGATTTTCCCCGTTAAAAAAAAAACAAACATGTTTGCTTCCATTCGATGTTACATTCATTGACATCAAAACGACACTGGTTGAGACAGATGAGCTAAATTAAAGGGGAGTAACTGCATAACAAGGGAACAAAATCAAGATAAATATTTCCTCAATTAGTTTGGTGCCTTGGAGCGTGGTTTCGACATTGGACGTTTAAATAATTACGTCTATGACTTTGGAAAAGATTGAGTTTTTAAAAAATATATATATATTTGAGATTGTTAACGTTAATTTTAAGTCGACCCGAAAATGTTGCGAACGTTGAGATCACATTGTCTTCTGCCCAACGATACGTTGATTGCGTGCTCTGTGTGTGTGTGTGTGTGTGGGGGGGGGGGGCATACTTGTATCTCAACAATAGTTTTTTAACTTTAAAATTTGTGTTTAGACAGAAAATTCCTATTCATTTTTTGATATCAGCCATCGGGGCATGATAACATCGGGGCATGATAACATCGGGGCATGATAACATCGGGGCATGATAACATCGG